CTATTTTTTTTTTTCCATCTTTGTGACCATTTAGCTCCCACATATGAGGGAGAGCATGTGGTGTTTGGTTTTCTGTTTCTAAGACAGTTTACTTAGGATGATGATCTCTATCTAGCTCCATCCATGTTGCTGCAAAGGACATGATTTCATTCTTTTTTATGGCTGCTTCTCCCCCTTTCTTTAACTAATATTCAGTGCTTCTGTCTTGTACCAGTTGGTTTACTACCTGCTTAGGGTCCAAAATTGAGTAAGACAGGAATCTGCCTACCCTCAGAGAGCCTTCAGTCTAATTAGGGGATTCTGACGGGCATCAAAATCATCTGTAGTGTGCAACACAAGGCACTTTTGCCATAAGCTGACCCTATGTTGGAGTAAGAGAGTTAGAGAAAAATATTCATACTCCTATTTCTGAAACACATCTCGGGACTTATGGGAAGGCAGTTGCTGTATTCTGGTTTATTTTTCCATGTTAGTGTAGCAATAATAGTTCCTTTAGAAGTTAGCAGTAATATATTTGCTCCCTAAACAAAAGTAAGTTACCAAGTTTTTAGTAAGAAATTGTTTTTCATTCTTAAAAATGCAAAGAGCTACGTCAAACGTTCTATTTATATTTATATTGGAATCTTGATCGTGTGGATTCCACTAGTAAGTTCAAGTGTAACAGTGTAATGGGTGTCATGTGGCCCTTGCATGGCCAGCTCTCCTGCATACCTTTTGGTTCCTGGTTGGAAATAGTAGTGGCCTGGAGCAGCTAATTTAAGAACTATGCTTGTCTATGGTTAGTGATGCCAAGTACACTAGATAACTCATTAATTATATAAAACTTTGGAATTGCCCTCATTTTCTCTCCTTCCTACATAGTAACCCACAGGGACATATGCTATTTTCTGTCCTTCTAGAAATAGGTATATATTTTAAAAATTAATTTCTTTTTTGATACTTGATGGACTGCCATATGTAGGCCTCTGGACTCTACCAGGTGCTTTTTGGAGATTCCAGAGTTCTTAAGAACCAATCCTTATTCACTTTTAGTTTTCTGAGGCCTTTGTAAAGGAGCAACATAGTCATATTACGGTTTTTTTCTATTAATGCTTATTAAGCAATAGACAGTGATTTTCAGATCATTGGTGGGGGGAATGTGCTAATTGCCTTCCCGTGTTGGTCTTTAAAATACTCACTAGATACGGATGCAAGCACAAAGCAACGCCCTTCAAGGAGGAATGATAGGCAACTTCATTAACATTTACCAGCAAGAGGGGACAAGAGGACTGTGGAAGGTAAGCTGGGAGAATGAATACACCCCACTTACTTTTCTTTTTTCCTTTTTTGAATTTAATTTTTCCATTTCCATCACTTAAATTTAATCTAAGTGGCATAATGGAGTAGGGTAAGAAGAGTGATACCTTCTGCCTATGAAAATACTTTTTTTCTTAACTTCCCTATCCATAAAATGGCAATATGCAGACTATGTCATCGTTTTAAAGTATTTTTTTTTTTTTAAGTATTTTTTGACTAATTTATGTATAAGAAGTTCTGGTCAGATGTAGTAGCTCATGCCTATAATCCTGATACTTTAGGAGACTGAAGTGGAAAAATTGTTTGAGTCCAGGAGTTTGAGACCACCCTGGGCAACATGTGGAGACCTCCTCTCTACAAAGAAAAAAAATATAAAAAAATCAAAAAATTAGCCTGCATGGTAGTGCATACCTGTAGTCCCAGCTACTCAGGAGTCTGAGAGGGAAGGATCATCTGGGTCCAGGAAGCTGAGGCTGCAGTGAGCTGTGATCGTGCCACTCCACTCCAGTCTGGGGCACAGAGTGAGCTCCTGACTCAAATAAATAAATGAATGAATGAAGTTCTGTGAAGGTGGAGCATTTTTTTTGGGTATAATAGTTTAAAAAAATTCTTGCTGGGCATGATGGCTCATACCTGTAATCTCAGCACTTTGGGAGGAGGAAGCTAGAGGATTGCCTGAGCCCACAGGTTTGAGACCAGCCCAGCAACTTGGTAAGACCTCGTCTCTACAATAAATCAAAAAATTAACTGGACGTGGTGGCACATGCCTGTAGTTCTGGTTACTTGGAAGGCTGAGGCAGAAGGATCATCTGAGCCCAGAAGGTGGAGGCTGTGGTGGCCATGAGCGTGCCACTGCACTCTAGCCTGGGTGACAGAGTGAGACTCTGACTCCAAAAGAAATAAATAAATGAACGGATAAATAAATAGTTAAAAATAAAAAATTCTTATGGAAAAGATTTCTTGGTTATAATTCCAAGGGATATTTTGATCTTTATGATTTCATGGCTCTTAAATCTGCATTAGTAGGCAAGTGCGGGCGTGGAGTAATGTTTCCTAGTATTTTAGTCATTTACCAGTTCATAGAATAGACCCTAAAGATGATCCAGTGTGATCCCTCAGTGTGTACCAGGAAACCAGAGTTCCCGAGAGGTGACTTGTCCCGGCCAAGGTCTGGCCCAAGGTCATACAATTAGTGCCAGCATCGGAATTAGCCTTGAGAGCTTTTGGGTTCTCACCCTGTGGTCTCCTCCACTCGTCACTCTACATTTCTGTCAACAGCCGGGTCATAGTTTGGGAAGTAGAACCTCTGCATATTTGCGAGGCTTATCCTGTGGAGGGATGTTGGAATCACTTTTGTATGAATATTTTTACCCAGGGTGTGTCCCTTACTGCTCAGAGGGCTGCTATTGTTGTTGGTGTGGAGTTGCCGGTCTATGACATCACCAAGAAGCATCTCATTCTCTCGGGCCTGATGGGAGACACTGTATACACCCACTTCCTGTATGTTTATGTATTTTTTTAAAAAAAGATTAATGTTTTAAGCATGCATGAGTTGAGGGTGGAAATTTGGTACAAATTTATAGAAATTTTAAAGAAAGTGTATCCTAAAAATATTATATTCTCATATTTGAAAAATTACAATACAAAAGAGAAGCGGGATGAAGAGAAATTCTTTATTCCTCTGCATAGGTAGCTGTTGTTAACGGTTCGCCATGTACTATCCAGGCATTTTCTGTGTATGCAAATATGTCTGCAAAAGTATATTGCATGTACCTTATTATACAAATATGGTTATGCTTTGCATTCTCTTATTTGCTTTTTAAAAATCTCACACTATATTCCAAATAGCTGTCACTACTTACAGCCCTCATGTATTTTTAGTAGCTGCATATTACCACATTGAATGGATAGTTCAGAGTTTATTTAATCCATTGCTGGGCGATGTGGAGACTGTGATTGTCACGATAGAGGGAGCACTACTGGCATCTAGTGGGTAGAGGCTTGGGTTGCAGCTAAACCTCTCAGTACACAGGACGGACCTCCCCCCAAAAGGATGGTCTGCCCAAAATTCTCTTAGTACTGAGACTGACCTCAACCTCAGTTGCTCTGGGTTACTTGATATCAAGTGTGGTCTGTGGTAGTCTTGTGAGACAAAAGTACAGAGGAACCTAAGATTGCTGGGGGGGCATTATATTAAGGAGAGCTTTTTATTTGATCTTTAGGAACAGAAAGGCACTTCTTATGATCTAATTCCCACGCGTAATCTCAATTACAGCAAAAATGCTGCCAATAGCTAGGGTTGCACTGATGCCTACTTTAGGTCAATAGATAAAATCGAGCATCCCTGGAGGTATTCTTAGCTGTGACTTATAAGCCAGTATAATCCATGCTAATGTTTAATAACTTTGTCTAGCTGTCTAGATGTGAATCTTATTCTTGATATGTTTCATGTTGTTACATATTACCTTAACATGGTTTCTGAGAGGAGGCTGTTTCCTGCCTTTGAGGGTGGTGATTATACCTCGGTGGTGGTTAACTTGGTTTTTTTTTTTTTTTTTTTTTTTTGCCGATGGTATCTTTATTAGCTCAAGCTTCACCTGTGGTCTAGCAGGGGCCCTGGCCTCAAACCCTGTTGATGTTGTGAGAACACGTATGATGAATCAGAGAGTTCTTCGAGATGGCAGATGCTCTGGCTACACAGGTACTCTGGATTGCTTGTTACAGGTGAGAATACGTGTCTGTCTGTGCAGGATTGTGAATTATGTATCTTTTGACCTAAGAAGTAACTAAATTCCGAGAACTATTAAAACTAAGATGGACTGAGTGCAGTGGCTCATGCCTGTGATTCCAGCAATTTGGGAGGCCAAGGCAGGAGGACTGCTTGAGGCCCAGAGTTCAAGACCAGCACGGACAACCCTTGTCTCTACAAATTGTTTTTTTAATTAGCTGGGCATACTGTGTTCCAGCTAGTTAGGAAGCTGAGGCAGGAAGGTTGCTGGAGCCCAGAAGTTCAAGGCTGCAGTAAGCTATGATCGTGCCACTGTCCTCCAGCCTGGGCGACAGATCAAGACCCTATTTCAGAAACCCCTCCCCTCCCAAAACTAAGATGAATTTAAAAGCCCTGAGATGTATATATGGTACATAATTTTTGTCACACTGGGGCTAACTTTTATAAATACGATGTCAAATGAATATTTAGAAATGAAAGTTCATTTTTTTATACCTCTACTCTGCTGTGAGGGGTAAGAAAGTAATATCTTCTGTGATCATAATAGAACTGTATTTCCTTTCAAAATATACCTCCTTCCTGTTGAGTCAAACTGGAATGAACATCTGTCATTCAGACATCTCTCTTAAAGGAACCCATCAATTTTACTGTAATTCTCAGCTTAAATAATTAGATCTACTGTTCACGAGTAGATGAGAGTTTTCAACTGTCTCACCAACTAGATTCCCAGAAGCCAAAGATTAGGGCCTAGTATGTGGTTCCTGTTCTCTGACATGATGCTAATTCATTTACACTTCAGGTATTGCCCTAATGAAGCAAAAACACTTGTCATATTTATCCACCAAAAACTTAGGAAATAGTGGTACTCTCAAAGATGCTGCTTCTTTATTTCGGACCCATTCAGGAGCCCGAATGGCATGGAAGCAAAAGACCCTAATTGGAATTAAAAATCTAATCTCTGGCTGGATATTGTGGCTCATGCCTGTCATTCCAGCACTTTGGGAAGCCAAGGCTTGAGTATTGCTTTGAGCCCAGGAGTTCAAGACCAGTCTGGGCAACACAGCAAGACTTGGTGGTCTCTACAAAAAGTAAAAAAATTAGTTGGGTGTGGTGGCACACACCTGCTGTCCTAGCTAGCTGCTTGGGTGACTGAGGCAGGAGGATCACTTGTGCCCAAGAGGTTGAGGCTATGGTGAGCAGTCATCGTGCTACTGCACTCCAGACTGGACAACAGAGTGAAACCCCGACTTAAAAAAAAAAAATTTCTTCTTAATTCCACTACTGTTCATGTGCTCTGTGTGGGGTTTGTTCAACCCTTTGTTTGGGGCTGTTTGTCATGGAGCCTTAGTCTTCCACCCCTGCAGAAGCCTTTAAAGACCAGAGCGAGACAGAGGACAAGGATTTCTCAAGTAGTCCTTCCAAACAGTTTATTTTTAAGAAAATAGATCAGTCTGGCCACGACTTGTAAATGCATTTGACATAATTAGAATGTTGGAAGTTAACTCTGTTTTTTTTCCTTTTAACAGACATGGAAGAATGAAGGGTTTTTTGCTCTGTATAAAGGATTTTGGCCAAATTGGTTGAGACTTGGTCCTTGGAATATCATTGTATCCTTTTCTGCTGCGATAGATTTGAAAAAAGATGCAGCTAGAAAATACTGTTTGTATAGACTATCATGTTTTGAATCATTATTTAGAAGTAGGTTCTTATTCTTTTTCCTCTGATTTGAAGAAATAACTACTGTTTCTTTCATAGGAAATTAAAGTCTCTGTGCTAGATGCTATGAATTTTAATGATGATGTGATTGAAAGGTAATGAGACCAATAAAAATTTGTAGTCAGACTCTGTTCTAGAAGCTGAGGGTATTTACGATATCCGAGTGAGACAAGGATTGACTTTATGGCTCTAGCCACCCTTGGGAAGTACGCGGTGGGCAGCAATGTTCTAGAATGCTTGTTTTGGAGAGCGCCTGAAGAGAAACAGGAATTAGCCCCGGGATCATGGGACAGACCTTTACGGTTCCTGTGTGCCAAGGTAGGAAGCAGGAAGGGCGAGGCTGTACACAAGACATGAAGGGCAGAATTGTGAAGTAGGAATATTGGTTTTCGTCGTCTTCTGGTTGCTCTTTATCTGCTCTTCCCTTCTGAGGAAGGCTGCCTAGTAGAAGCCCTTGAGGAAAGCTTCTCAGGGCTTATGAACTCCCTTTCTGTCTCTTTCTCTCTCTCATACACACACAAGTTACTGTTCTGGAAAGTCTTCCCAACCCAGCAAAGCTGCAGGCTAATCAATGTGGATGGATGTCATCTCAGAAGAGGCTGATGCCAGGGGATTTTACATCTCAGCAGTGATCTTTCCCTTCCAAGCTGACCTTGGGAAGGTTTATGGGAAGATATTTTGAGATGATTAAGGTGGAGCCTTCATATGTAATCGTGTCCATGGCATGGGCTCATCTGTATGTTTGTTAGTCGGTGTGCATTTGTAAGTCTGTTTTAGGTATTGGAGCGGTGAAGATGACGTTGTCTGTCAACCTTAACCCATAACTTCAGTTCTTTGTGACATATGAGCAGTTGAAGAAATTGGATTTGTGACAAGTTAAGGCTGCATGAGGCATCCTCTGAAAATGCTAACTTCCGAAACAGCAAAGCTTCCTGTGTTTCTTCTTCTCACTGCTTGGCTCTTCACAGATTCTGGGGTGTGAGCACCAGATGAAGGCAGGGTTGCTGAGAGTGCTGCGTGTTGCTGTTGGACGCTCTTCATCAAATGCTTAATGGCATCAACTGTTACATATGAACACTAGTCTCTACCACTGAAGTGCCCGTCAACATCATAGAAATGTCCGAAATGCATGTTTCTTGCTGAAGAAAATCAGGAAATGTGTGTTGTTTTCTTCGGGGAGAGTAGTCCTGATGCAGCTCGGCTCGTGGCTGAGAATATCAGACTGCTCTAAAGAAGCTCATTGGAACTGTGGGATGGAGCCTCCAGAGGAGGGGATTCTTGTTCTAGAACTTCTGAGAACTTTGGCTTCTTGTCAGCTGAAGTAATTTCACACGTGGAGACCTGGACTTTCCAACTCCAGATGTAAACAGTGCAGGAAATAGATCCTTGGAATATTGCCCTGCTTTGTCATTTCCTATTTTGGCAGGATCTTTCACTTATACTAAGTGATTTTAAGCCTTTGAAGACTTGATCTTTGTGAGAAATTGTTACAACGTAATAATCTCAGTTCATGGTAGTGTTATATGTTGGCTTTGAAGGTTGCAAGTTCTGTATCTGTGGGAAGTCTTCAGGCAGTTTGGGTTCTTTCTTAGGTAATGTTAGTAATTAGCTCTGATTTTTAGTGAGGTATTATTTTGTAATCTGTAAAATGGAAATGATAACATCTCTTGATGTGGAGGGTCAAATGAAGAAAAAATAGTAGCTGCTGCCAGTTGACTTGAAAGGTAAGTATGTTTACATCATGTTGTCTTACAGCTGTGAAAAGCCTATGTATGTAGAAGAGAGTTGTGTTATCATGGTAATCATGAGTGAAGTCCTTTGTTAAAGGTCTTATTGAAGAAAGAACACTGTATGAGTTAAGGTTTTTAATGTTTTCCCTAGCAAAATGTTGCCACTGAGTTGAAGAGTTGATTTTTTTCAGATTTCCAGTTTTTACTTTAGTTCATGTCATATCTGTTAAAAAATATTTCCTGTCTTGAACTTCCTAGTTAGTTTGGATGGAAAATACCTGCTTGAAGTTTTTTTTTTTGCTTTTTTTTTTTTTGAGTTGGCGTCTTACTCTGTCGCCCAGGCTGGAGTGCAGTGGCATGCTCCCAGCCACCGCAGCCTCGACCTGCTGGGCTTAGGTGATCCTTCTGCCTCAGCTTTCCAAGCAGCTGGAATTACAGGCACGTGCCACCACACCCGGGTAATTTTTTGATTTATTGTAGAGATGAGGTCTCGCCAAGTTGTTCAGGCTGGTCTCGAATTTGTGGGCTCAGGCAATCCTCTCACCTCAGCACTCTTAAAGTGCTGGGATTATAGGTATGAGCCATTGCACCTGGCCTTGCTTAAAGTTTTTTTTTTTTTTTTTGAGTGGAGTCTCACTCTGTCACCCAGACTGGAGTGCAGTGGCATGCTCCCAGCCACCGCAGCCTCTACCTGCTGGGCTCCGGAGATCCTTCTGCCTCAGTC